AGGCCTTTTTTTTTCCTGGTATGTTAATAGTGGGAAAAAACCTGGAAACTGCCAGATTATCCATCAGTAAGGGGATGGTTGAAGAACTGTCATACCTGGACAATATGGAATGTTATGTAGCTCTGTTTAAAAGTTAACTAAATCTATGTCATTTGATCTGGAGGGATGACTATGATGTATGGCTAAGAGAGAAAATCAAGCTGCACAATAATTAATGCCCAGAGAATAATCCCATTTTTGTAAAACAACAAGATCCCATGCCAGTCTATTAGTGTATGTTTGTATAGGCATGGAGAAGGTATGGAAGGATACACATCTGGAGGATGGAGTGGGGGAAGATTATTACTTTTTCCTTTCTTTTTATTTGGAAATAATTTCAAACACAGAAAAGCTGAAAATTAAAATAGCACAAAGAACACCTCAAAATTCTTTACCCAGGTTTACCTACTGTTAACATGTTACTCCGTTAGCTTCATGATGTGTGTTCTCTCTCTCTCTCACACACACAATCTCTCTCTCTCCCCACACCACCACCACACACACACACACACATTCTGACCTAGTTGAGGGTAAATTACATAAACATGGTAATTTACCCATAAATACTTCAACGTGTGTTTCCTTAGAGATAGTCTCTTACTTAACTACAGCACCTTCATCAACTTCAATGAATTTAACATTGATACAAATTATGCTTTCTGATTATAAGAGAATTAAACTAGAAATCAATAATAGATACATGGAAATTTCCAAAAGATATGGAAATTAAATGACCCACTTCTAACTAACCCATGTGTCAAAGAGGAAGTCACAAGAGAAATTAGAAAATATTTTGAATGGAATTTAACAATGTTAAATAATAAAATACTTTAAACTAAAACCAAATCTGTTGCCATTGAGTCAACTCTGACTCATGGCAACTCCACGTGTGTCACGGTAGAACTGTGCTCCACAGGGTTTTCAACGGCTGATTTTTCAGAAGTAGGTTGCCAGGCATTTCTTCCAAGGAAACTCTGGGTGGACTTGAGCCTTCAATCTTTTGGTTAGCGGCTGAGTGTGTTAACTGCACCACCCAGGGACTCCTTTATCTAATCTAGTGATTCACTTTTCCTTTATATACTGTTTACAATTCTCCATGCCCTTTGCCATGTGACTTCACACTACCACCCACTGGAGTTGGAGAGGTTCTTTCCCCTCCTTGCTAATACTGGGCTGGAACGTCACTTGCTTTGACCAAAGGAAAGGGGGCAGAAGTGACAGTGTGACGGTTCCTGACCCAGGCCTTGTGCTCTTCCACTATCTTGCCATTGCCATGTGAAGTGATTCCCCTTGTCTCCACCGATTCACCCTGGGACCTAGCAGGAACACCTGTGGAGCAGACCTGAGCCCCCCCAGCACAAGGAGCTACACCGAGCTCAAGTCTGAGACTCTATCTCACCCTTCTGTTTCATTCCTCTTTGTAGGCTAATCCTCCTCTCCCACCCCCCACACAAAGCAAAATCAAACAACAAGTGTCCCCCCACCCCAAGCTGTGTAGTCTGGCCACTCGTAGTGCCCTCACTTTAATTTCCCAGCATAGATGAGGTGTCCACCCAAGGAGGAGGAGTCCAAGCTGGCCCCCTGCCATCTGGGAGACAGAACTCAGAACACCCTTCTGTGATGGCCCCCTGTGGCTGACTATACTTCACTGACCCCCCTAATGAACCACAAATCCTCATATTCATCCCTCGTGTAGCCCTGGACAGTGAGGCATTAGTAAGCAAGTTTCAAACACAGACTTGATACTGTTGCCATCAAGTCAATTCCGACTCACAGTGACCCTATTGGACAGAGCAGAACTGGCCCATGGGGTTTCCAAGGCTGTGATCTTTATGGAAGCAGACTGCCATATCTTTCTCATACAGAGTGGCTGGTGGGTTTGAACTGCTGACCTTTCAGTTAGCAGCCAAGCACTTACCCACTGTGCCACCAGGGCTCCTTAGAGACTTAAGTACTTGCAATCAGGGCTGGTCCTCTTGGAATGCCATGAGGCAGTCCAGGTGCCACATGGACACGCCTTCCTGGAAGAGAACTGACAGCCCTGGCCCAATCCCCCCTGAGCTTCCGGATAACCGCAGTGACCCCAGGGCCCCAGCCAACACCATGTGAGAACCAGCCAGTAAACCTACAGAATGCCAAGAGAAAATAAACTGTGATGGTTTAAGCCATTAGATTTTGTGATGGTTTCTTAGGTAGCGATAGATAACGAAGACATTCTCTATCCTTTTTCTAATTGGGGAAGTTCTGGTAAGTGTTGCAATGCACACCTCATGACATGCACTGTTACTGTCACTGTCACTGAAGGGCCCCTCTAGGTACTTCCACCCTCCACGGCACTCCTGTTCTACTCCTGCAGCAGCAGTAGGAACGCAGGAGTACTTGCTGGCATTTTACTGAAGAGCAACACTTGTGAAAAACCCACTCAGTGTGCTGGATGCTCACTCAAACTCCGAGCACTGTAACACCAAAGAACTGGACATTGCTGATCCAGCTCTAGAAGCGCCTTCCTCAAGGAAGTCTGCGAGGCTCCTCTCTTCAAAAGTGACAAGGCCATGGTTTAGAAGCTAAAACCAGTCATTGCAAATTTAAGGAGTAACAGAATACCTAGATAACCTCAGTTACTTGCCCTTAAGCCAGAAGTGGCAACCCCATGTGTGCAGAATAGAACTGCTCCGTAAGGTTTTCAAGGCTGTGATCTTTTGGAAATAGATCACCAAGCTTGTCTTCCTAGGCACCTCTGGGTGAGTTCGAACTGCCAACCTTTTGGCTAGTAGTTGAACGCTTAACTGTTTGTGCCACCCAGGGTTTTTCTCTTTTCCATAGAACAAAGGCAATTAGAGAATCACCTCATGGGGCTGTTGGAAGACATAAGAGCTCAGAAATGGAAGCCGCCATTATTTTTGTATTTTTAATGCCTAATATGTGTCTGGAAACCCTGATGGTGTAGTGGTTAGGTGCCACGGCTGCTAACCAAAAGGTCAGCAGTTTGAATCCACCAGGCACTCCTTGGAAACTCTACGGGGCAGTTCTACTGTCCTACAGGGTCGCTATGAGTCAGAACTGGAATCGACTTGATGACAACAGGTTTGGTTTTGGGTTTAGTATGTGTCTGCTCAATGTTGTGTAGACTTTGTTTCCAGCAGAACTCAACTTAGATCAGCTAGGAGATGCTGAGTGCTGCTCACTCCTCAGTTGCAAGCATTCAGGGGTGAGGTCACAGCATAAGACTCAAGCCCCGGAGGCCTGAGTTGCCAACCACTCTTGCTTTTCCAAGAACCTTGGAGATCAGACCTTTGCTCTTCATCCCACTTGGAGCCTAATGCCCTTCCCTGGACAACCTATTAATTTAGCCTTGAGCCATATTCAGTTTAACTAGAACACTAGATATTTGGCCAAATATGTACATACTAGTAGTGTGTTTGCTTTTAAACTGCCTCTCAATTGCACCTCCAAGTTCTCTCAAAGTGTCATTCGAAGTGAAGATAGTTCTTCAACTCCCTGAGTTACTGAGGAAAAGAATGAGATTTCAGTTCTATGGGGCACACACACATCCTGGGGGCTGGAGAGTCGTCAAAACAACAGGTTAAATCTAATCCATCTTCCTGGAGTGTCAATCCACCTAAAGCTCTGGGGTGAAAAAACCCCATTATTTTTATTAAAAAAAAGAAAAACATATACTTAAGAGTAAAATATACTTGTAATGTTTTAAAATAATATTTTATTGTGTTTTCGGTGAAAGTTTACACAGCAAATCAAGTTCTCATTTAACAATTTCTACACAATTTGTTCAGTGACATTGGTTACATTTTTCAGTGTGTCAAGTTTCTCATTATTTCCGTTCTGGCTGTTCCATTTCCAATAATCTAGTTTTCCTACCCCCTTGCCTTCTCATCTTTGCTTTAGAGTAAATATTAACCATTTGGTCTCTTACAATGATTTTTTAAAGAAGCACAGGACTCAAGGGTGGTATTATTTTATGAGCCAATTTGTTTAGATAAAAGATGACCTCATGGAATAGTTTCAGTTTTAGAATTAAAGAGTATCTCAGGGCGATAGTCTCAGGGAGTCCTTCAGTCTCGACTGGTCCAGTAAGTCTGGACTTTTTAAGGATTTGAGTTCTGTTCCACATTTTGCTCCCATTCTATCAGGATCTATCTACTGTGCTCCTGATGAGAACGGTTATTAGTGGTAGCCGAGTACCATCTAGTTCTACACGGTGCTCAGGATAGATGAGGAAATGTTCTAGTGTAGACTACTCGTCCTGAAGCCCAGTTTCTTCTCTGAGTCTTTGGTTTCCTTCTTTCTCTTTTACTCTGGACATGGAGAGATCAATAGTTGTATCTTAGATGGCCGCTCGCAAGCTTTCAAGGCCCCAGACACTACTCACCAAACTGGAATGTAGAACACAGACTTTATGTACTATACTATGCCAACTGAGTTGTCTCACAAGACTATGATCCTAAGCCTTCAGACCCAGTAAACCAATGTTTGTCCTATGTGTTTTATTCTCTATTATGTATATGGATGCATACACTTACATACATATATACCAGCATATACATACAACTGTCTACATATATGCAAATATACACTTGTATGCATACATAACATACACATGTAACCACATGTATTTTTTAGTTGTTGCAAAGTTGTATTTGTCATAGCATTTACCAAAAACAGCCTTTTTTCTTGTGTATTTGTTAGTGACATCATTTACCTTGGTGAAGCTGTGCACTTCACCAACATTTGGTGTTACCTTTCCCATCACCAAAAATAACTACTATCTACAGAGTGATCTCCCCACCTACCCCTGTAATCACCATTGAACATTGTATGTATGTACACCTATTCTTGTTTTTTTACCATAGTTAGATAATACAGTATTTGTCCTTTTGTGACTGAATTATTTCACTCAGCTTAATGTCATCCAGATTCATCCACATTATATTTTGAGAACTCACCATTATTCTTTACGGCTGCAGAGTATTCCATTGTATGTATGCATGACATTTTCTTTATCCATTCATCCACTGAAGAGCACTTAGGTTGACTCCATCTTTTTGCTATTGGGAATAGTGCTGCAACAAACCTAGGTGTGCATATGTTTGTGTCTTTAGTATTAGATCTCTAGGGTATATACCTACAAGTGAGATTGCTGGACCATAAGGCAGTTCTAGTTCTAGTTTTCTGAGGAAGCACCATACTGTTTGCTATAGGGTGCTTGTACCATTTTATGATCCCACCAGCAGTGGATAAAGGTTCCAGTCTCCCCACATCCTTGCCAGCATTTGTGTTTTTTAATCAGTGCCATTTTAGCAAGGGTGAGATGGTATCTCATCGCAGCTTTGATCTGCATCTAATGACTAATGATCGTATCTTTTCATGTGTTTGCTGGCTGCTTGAATGTCCTCTTTGGTGAAGTGTCTGTTCATGTCCCTTGTTCATTTTTTAATTGGGTTCTTTGTATCTTTGAAGTTTTCTATATATTTTAAAGATTAAACCCTTATCAGATGTCATTCCTTAAGTTTTTTCCCAGTCTGTAGGCTGTCTTTTTACTCTTACGATAGTTTTTTGATGTGCGTATTTAATTTTTATGAGGTCCCAGTTATCCAATTTGACTTCTGTTGTTCATGCACTAATAGTTATTTGATAATTTATTTTAAAAATAAATTAGGTCCCATAGTTTTGTCCGTTTTCTTCCCAGAACTTTATAGTTTTAGCTTTAACATTTAAATTAGTTTTGATCAATTTTGAATTACTTTTTGTGTATGGTGTGAGGTATGGGTACTATTTCATATTTCTGCATGTGGATATCCAATTTTGCCGGCATCATTTTGTAGAGACTGTTAGTTCCCCATTGAATGCATACCTGTAATTTTTTAAAGCTAACCCTTAAAAGACTTGAGTGTGTGTCTGGTTATAGCAGGTTCCTCCTCTTTTGGAGTTCTTGCAGGACTATGTACTGGTTTCGCTTGAGTAACAGGAATCCTTTCATGCTTCTCCAATGTACTAGAGGACTATGAGCAAATCACTTGACCTCTGAGTCTCTTTCTCAAAATCAAATCCAATGTTCATTTCTACAATAGCTGTTCTCACACAGGCCGTGTGACTCTCTGGGAGGGGAATAAGGTGCCTGGAGGACTTAGTTCTCTGGCAGCCAGCCATCACTGCTTTGGGAATCTTGGCCCTGGGCCAAGTACTGGGAGGACAAGAGCAGTACACAGCTCCCACGGAGCTCCAAATCTGGCTGATAGGGACAACAGCGCCTACCCCAACACAACACACAGTGCAGGCACCGATACAAACTAGATTTTACGAAGTAGAGGGCTGTTAGTGTTCCCTAAATGAAACAAAATGTGAGGGGTCCTCTATCACATGGCCTCTCACACGGTTCCTTAAATTCAATTTTTTTCTGACATCAAGTTGTGTCCATTTTTAAAGATATGTTAAAAACAAGTAGCTTATTGTTGTGTGCCGTCAAGTCACTTCTGACTCAGAGCAACTCTATATGACAGAGTAGAACTGCCCCATAGGGTCTCCGAGGCTGTAATCTTTATGGGAGCAGATCGCCAGGTCTTCTCTCCTGTGGAGCAGCTGGTGGGTTCAAACCCAAACCTTTCTGTTAGCAGCCAAGCACTTAACTACTGTGCCACCAGGGCTTCTTACAAATAGCTTACAACTGCTGTACAATGAGTGGAAAACGGAACAATCCTTTTGCAGCTGTTGCCAACCCTAGATGTTACTATCTAACCATCAGCCCTACCTGGCTGGCGGAGAAGACAGGGTCTAAGAACGTTCTTCTACGCTGACTGGATGGCAGATGCAGCCAAAGCTCCCCTCACGTCAGGGCCCACAAAAACCCACCAATGCATGGTCATTTGAGAATGCTCTTCCACACTTTGGAGCCCTGATGGTGCAGTGGTTAAGAGCTCGGATGCTAACCAAAAGGTCGGCAGTTTGAATCTACCAGACGCTCCTTGGAAACCCTATGGGGCAAGTTCTACTCTGTCCCACAGGGTCACTATGAGTTGATATTGACTCTATGGCAACAGGTTTGGTTATGGTTTTTTTTTCTTCCACACTTCAGTCCCCACCCTTTGTACCATTTACAATCACTTTTAGAGAACTAGTTAAGGGTTTATTACCCGACTAACTTAAGGGAAAGGCCAGAGAGGAAGGCACATCAAGACCAGCAACTGCACTACCTATCCTGGCTGCCAAGCCCGCTCTTGGGAAATGGCCATGCCCCTAGTTCCCAGGCAGGAACGGGTGGGACCCCAGGGAAAGGCAGTTCCAGCCATGCCTCAGGCTAAGGGAGACAAAGACCACTTCTACTTGGTCTAGCCCTCTTCACAAATGACACTATGGGTGGCAGGAGACAGATCCACAAAGTGGGACATTCTACAGGGCATCTGATTTGTTTCTGTAACCAATCAATGTTGGGGAAAAATGGGGACAATATCACTACCCTAGATTATTAGACTTTGGAGATCCAAACAAACCACCGTGGCAGTATTTCTGAGACCATCTGGAAGCTCTGACTATAGGTTTATTATTAGATGATTCCAAAAAATTTGTTCATTTTGTTAAGGGTGATAATATGCATTGAGGTTATATAAGAAAATATCCATATTTTTGAGAAATACCTAAGTTGGTAGGGGTGAAATTGTAGGATATTTGAGACTTACTTTAAAACACTTTAGCAAAGAAACAAATGAAGCAAATGTGGCAAAATCTTGACAATTGCTGAACATAGGTGGTGGGTAATGAGGTTTGTTGCACCATTTTCTGAATCTGCGTATGATTTAAAATGTTCATAATTAAAAAATGTAAAACAAAGAGTCAATTAAAGCAGTAAGAGTTTTCTTCAGTTCTGTAAGCTACGGAGACAATGGCTTCAGCCAGCCTCAGCAACAACAGTGCTTGACCTTCACATGTAACAATCACAAGGTGATTTCCAGATTTGGAAAAATCTCACTTCCTCAATTTTACTTAATGGGTTGCAATCTATTTTGTCAACCAAAAACCTTTAAAAGGTGGAAAAACCTTTCCAAAAAAGAAAGGAAAGAAGGAAGGAAGGAGGGAGAGAGGGAAGAAAAAGCAGAGAGAGACAGTGCTGCGACAAGTTCTTCACACAGAGTGAAACGAGCCTGGACTCAGTCTCCCCAGGTGAGAGTAAATTTCATGGTTTTCACATGGGAGCTCAACACACTTCCCTTTAAACTGAGGGCACAAGCTGGCTGCAAGTACGACCTCTAGAACAGGGGTTCTTAACTCATGGTCCACAGATCCCTGATGCAAAATTTTGGATGTGTGTGGAGTTTTCTAGAGAGAGTATTCAGCTTTCTTCAGCTTCTCAAAGGGATCCATGTTCCAGAAATGGCTAAGAACCACACTCTTAATTAAAGGGGGAACAAAGTGACTAGATTGAAGCTCTGGCAATAAACTGTCATGAGGAAAGATTTTTTATCTATGAACATCTGATAATTTTAGAAACTCTCTTGTTAGATTAAAAACAAAACAAAAAAAACCTGACAGAAAATTATGAACTGTCCATCTCCAACATCCACACGCACACTCAACAACCTAGTCCTGGAAACAGGCTACAGGCTATGTTACAGCCAGATTTGCTTCCACCATCCCACACCTTCACTCCAGCAGCTCAACTGTCCTGGGCATGAGCAAGTGCCATGGAGAGCAATCTACACGGCAGGCTGTTCAATGGCTCCAACTCAAACCAGCTTCCACAGACACTAGAATGAGATCCTTCAATCCCGGGCGCAGTCCCTGTCAGGGAGATGCAAACGGGTAAAACAGATGAAGCAATGTAGAGACACAAACGTTTAGTAGTTTACTTTCACTGGCTATGGCCAAAGCCAGCAAGAGAGACAACAGAACTTCCGTGCCCTAAGTCTTCCCAGAGTCACTGACAACACACTGTCAATGGCTGGAAGAGGGCTGGAATCCCTCTGTAATCATCTCACAAGCTCCTCTAGTCCTAGGACACAGGGTGCCTTCTGCAGGAAAGCGCCTCTCGCCACTATGTGAATCTTAACAGCTACACATTTTCTCATCTTTAGATTAGGACAGACTGATTCTCTCTCACCAAGAATATCAATTCAGATGCTCTTTTACAAACTGTCAGGTGGAAGGACTGCCGCACCATTCACTTTCAGTTAACTAAGGTGTCAGAATTGGTAAAAAGGATGTAGGGTGGAGGCATGTCTGGCCTCAGCCTCAGGCTGCTGATGCTGATTCTTCCCCCTTGTGAAGTTAGAGGAGGTCAGACGCCCCCACCACACCATTTTTACATACAGAGTCCCAGGATGTTGGATGAAACAGAGGACTGGAGTTACTCTGCTGCAGGTCTGCTCCTACTGCTTCCCCTGCCCACCACTCTTCTCCCCTCAATTCAGAGGTTAGAACGAAGTCTAACGGCAGGAGGATGAGACCCACAGTGAAAGGAATAACCGCCTCTATGTGAAGACCCCTTCTCTCACAGCAGATACACTTCTCTGTGAAGAGCTGCGTTTCCATCAGCGACGGAGCCTCAGAAAGAATGCATGTTTACACTCCTTACTCTCCAAGGGGTAATATTTATCATAAAAATCTAAGACATATTCTTCCGTCTTGAATCCAAATTTCTGGTACAGCAGCATAGCAGGGTTGCTTGCTGAGACGTGAAGGGTCACATCCTTGCCCATGCAGGTCTGCCAAAAGAGTGGAAAAATACAAGATGAGAATGAAAAGGCCTGAGGGGAAAATGAGTAGCTGAGGAGACTTCTAAATGTAGGCAAGTCAGTTATGGAAACAGAAATCAGGCACTGAGGCTGAGACATTGCAACACCTAGCAACAGCTGGAAACCCAATGACATTTGCCGCTTATCAAAACACTCACAAGACAGGTACCCAATGGCATTTTGGGTGGTTTTTTCCCTCTGAAGCAATGGGCCAAGAGGACTATTTTACTGTCAACTTTTTATTATTTTATTTATAACTCAATTATATTTAAATATATGAAGCATACCAATGTCAAACACTTACGGCAAACTTAAAGAATAGAGAACAAGTCTCTGCTTTTTAAAACTGGATGCTCTCCTGCACCCTCAAATATGTGAAAACTCCCATCCTAGGCCTACTAGGAAATACACTAAATCAGCTGCACAGATACAAGCTATTAAGACTAGTTTTATTATAAAAGCTGAGGACCCCATATAGACCTTCCGAATCCCAAAGTCCACCTTCCACCCCTAAAACTGATGGCATTAGCTTCTCAGAACTGAGATTTAGAGTATGTTTCTCTATATTTAGCACTGGCCTAATCCTGGGGTAAAACAGTAATTGTTCTATCAACGCAAGGCAAGTTCTTAGATTCTTTTATCAGCTACAAAGAACAAGGTACACCAAAAGTCGTATGAATTAAGAACTTGTGTTTTAATAAGGCAGGCACTGAAATACTGAAGTAGACAGGGCCCCTGAGATTTTACAGTCAATGGTGGCATTTTTAGGACAAGAGCAAGCTACTACTATAGCAGGGATGAGAACGTGTTATGAGTATATAGAGCAAATTTTGTGAGGTGACATTAGTGCTCTTTAAACTGCAAATATACACAATTTAACCATGGGCACCTTCAAGTTCTACTGACTGAGGGTGCTGGTCTGGCTGGGGCTAGGCATCCACATAGAGACAACTGTCTTCTACCTACCCAGCAAACACCCAGCGAGGTCTGACTGCGCCAGGCCTCATCTAGGCACTGAGGACACACACATTATGATATCATCCCTGCCCTGCCCGCAGGCCCTTACCAATGAAGGAAAAGGTAGAAAATCCTGAAAGTTATCTGTTAAAATAGAAGAGTAAAGATCGATTCTGTGGATGGCGTGGGGCCCAAGAGAGGGGGAATGTGTGGCAGAAATAACTGAGGTCTCAGGGAAAACAATGCAAGGTAGCAATATTAACCAAGCTCCATGATTTACATAGTCACTGACTGAGGAATCAGAAGAAAGCAATCTCAAGGTGCCTGCCAACACTGGGGAATTACTGAGCGTTTTTCATTAAAAACTGAAAAAACAATTTTATCATCTCCATCCTCTCTCAAAAAGGAATCTTACCCACATAACACAGTCTCCCATACCAAACGATTTCTAAATAAAAGTTATCAGAAAAATTCTGGAAATAAAGATTCCCACGTTTTTCTGATACATTATAAAAATATGGTATTTTTTCTTCAAAGGTGAGGCCGCTGTATCAAAGGATGAATATCCTTTATAAGAATCAAGTCTTGGAAGGTTCATACCAGCTTATGCAGTGACAGCAGCAGCAACAGAATACGGACTTATTGATAGAGTTTTGCTAAGATGTTTAAGGATACTTAACAACTGAAGACCAGGCAGTTCTGTTTCCACCTGTCAGAGCTGAGGCGGCGATGACTTTAACAGCAGGGACAGTCACTACACGTGCAGCACAGCACAGCACTTTAGGGTCTCATTCCAGGGTTTCCTCATTTTATTTACTCTACACTCACCAACAGGTTTCCTGGATGCTTAGGTCTGAACAGTCACCTTATCTTGGAGGGCTGGAGATTTCCTTCTGTGTGTTAAACACCCTCACTGCTGACTGGCTTGCTTTCACTCGGCTTTAGGGCAGCCCATCCCATTGCGTTGTGCTGGGAAGGACCAGCTGAGCCTCACCGTGCCCCCCAATCTTCCAAGCAGCCCAGATACAAGTTGAGATGAGCCCAGGTGACCGACCTGAATCAGATGGTAGATCATGAAAGTCGCAATGCCTGCTCTTCTCCATTCAGGGTGAACAAATAGAAATGAAATGTAAGCTTCGTTGTATTTCACATCGGGAACCATGAAGCCAAAGGCAATGATGACTTTTTTATAAAGGACAACCACACTGAAGTCTGGATACTGCAGGCACTCAGACAGGTCGATGCCTGAAGAAAACAAACAATTGGAGATTCAAACCACGGTGCCTCCTGGAATGAAGTAACACCAAGCTGTCCAGTCTGTGCTTAAGACACACCTGCATGCTAAAAAACCCAAACAGGGGGACAAAGATACTACCATAGATACCACACATCTGGATCATAAAAATAAAAATGAATTTTAGAAAATATCAAAATTAACATAGTCATTTCTAAGTACAGATGTTAGAGGAAGAGAGGAAGAAAAGGGCGCGTAGCAGAGAGCGCACGGGTTCAGGACGGACACACGCGGCTCTGAACTCAGCCTCCCCTACCGTGTGTGACTGCAGGCGCATTTCTAACCGTCGCAGGGACTCCGACTCTGTAACACATAAGACAGGCGCATACCCAGGCCTCACGGAGCTGTGTAAAGATTCTCTGAGTGCTCATGTCAGTATGTTTTACCTCGTACGTATTCAATTGATATACTCTGTTGTACATATGCTACATTTCACAATAAAGAAGTTAAATAAAAAAAGATTCCATGAATAATGTATGGAAGACATGCAGCACAAGGGCAGGAAGCAGTAGATGTTCCCAGAATGTTCTTTTCAGCCCCAATGCCACACCTAAAAGAAAGAGCAGAGCTCTGCCACCATATGCACTATGATATGATTATCAGTCAATAAAGATGACACAGTGCTAATCTCGATGAAATATTATCTCACATCTGGAGGACAGTTATTATTTCCTTTTTTAAAAAATAGTATTTTATTGTGTTTTGGTGGTGTTATTTCCTTTATGTTTCAAAGCAGCATGGTGAAGCAGATCCACAAAGAACGTGTTTACGCTTAGCAATTAAAATGTGTTCCATTGATTGATGGCTGTGGTCTTCAGCAACAATTTGCTAAGGCTGATAAAATGACAAATCATATACGGTTTACTCTTATTCTCAAGGTCCATGGTATCTGGCTGTCATGGGTTGAATTATGTCCCCCAAAAATGTGTGTATCTATTTGGCTAGGCCATGATTCCCAGTATTCTGTGGCTATCCTCCATTCTGTGATTGCAATTTTACATTAAAGGGGATGAGGGTGGGATTGTAACACCACCCTTACCCAGGTCACATCCCTGATCCCATGTACAGGGAGTTTCTCTGGGGTGTAGCCTGCACCAGCTTTTATCTTACAAGAGATAAAAAGAAAGGGAAGTAAGCAGAGCTGGGGACCTCATACTACCAAGAAAGCAGTGCAGGGAGCACAGCACGTCCTTTGGACCTGAGGTTCCTGCACTGAGATGCTCCCAGACCAGGGGAAGACTGATGCATCACAAGGATCTTCTTGCAGAGCCAGTGGAGAAAGCCTTCCCCTGGATCTGACTCCCTGAATTTGGACTTGTAGCCTGCTAGACTGTGACAGAATAAATTTCTCTTTGTTAAAGCCATCTACTTGTGGCATTTCTGTTATAGCAGCACTAGATGACTGAGAAAGAATGGCTGTTTAAAAACACCTTTTGGCTGTACTAACCCTCTCTAGTGAACAGTTAAACAAAGCACAGGGAATCATTAAGCAAAAAACAAGTGTCCAAACATGCCCAAACTACCAGTCTGTGTATCTTCCATAGACATTAGCTGGTATCTAAACATATGTAGAAGCAAAACAGGGTGAATATTTTATTCTGGAAGCAGAAATACACAGGGAAGAGAAACAAATGAAAACACAGTTTATGACTTTAATTGTTGGCTCCTCCTTGACTTTAGGAAAACAAGAGGTATTTAATATCTTTATGTCAGTGGAGACAAACCAAATGAAATCGTATGAGTAAAGGTTTTAGGGTTAGACGACATATATTAGTTAAAAAATTAGACTGAACTCTACAGAAAATTGATCTGCCTAGTTTGGGAGGGGGACATACCCGGCCAGAAGAACTCACGGCACATGGAGTTGACCGTGGGGATGTGGTTGGGCCGAACATAGCAGTAATCGAGAGGCGCGTCAGGCTCCGGTGTCCAGTGCAGGTCGCTCCTGTGCAGGTGGGAGCGGATCTGTGACAGGAGCTGCAGTTTGGGTGGCTTTGTTTCATAGTCACGCCTCCAGTGCCACAGAAAATAAACAAACTCAAGTGAAGAAAAGTACCCAGTATTATTCCTAGTCTTTTGATTCACATAAACTCTTTGACCTACTTGAAATATCAAACTCATTTGTGCTGCTTTATGTGGTTGCTAGCTTGATAATAGCTAAGATACTTCCCTGGTATGAGATTTGAAATTCACTCTATAAACACTCATTAAGCCAAATCCCCCTGTACCCGCCAGGAGCTATACTACGTGCTGCGGAGCCTTTAATGAACAGGGAGGAAACAGACAGCGTCCTGCTTCCACCAGGATGCTCTGGTACAGAGCTGCACTCCCGTGCTGCCGGAGCCCGGAGAAGAGAACACCCAGCCAGCCCAGGGCAGCTGGGGTGCACAGAGACGATGGGACACTTGAGCAGACTTGCTAACTGTGACTATGAAGCAAGCATGGCTCAAGAAGACAATGTGCTCTCTTAGTCCCCAGGTAAGAAACTACCAGGGGATTCTCTAGTAAGCTCAGCTCCCATTTTACCACCCAGACAAGACCCATTATAAGACACCAACCCAGCGTTCAGTCCTGGTTATATGCTGGATGAAGATGTCACTCCCAATTCTCCCATCTCTTCATCTTATAGAGTACTGCATATATACACACAGATATAGACACACACAACATTAACAGTTTAAAATAAAATGATAATGATAATCACAGTGAAATCTAACAGAGTTAACTTATCCTTGCTTTTTACTTTTCTTTCAAAGGACCACCTTTTCTGCAAGAAGTACAGCTGAAACAAGCCAAGGATGAAACCCAGCACAAAGCACAGAGCTTCGTCCTTGCCAACGCCACTCACAATTATTGATGCCAGCAGAGGCGTGGGGATGGTGGGGAGGCAGAAACCACAAACGTTATCCCTCATGACACACTGAACATCAGACGTCTTCTCCATTACCTGATATAAGGCTTCAAGATCCGAGAAGTGTAAGGGCTGATGATACTCTGGTCCACAGCCATGTCTTCTGTCCCCACCAAACGATACAAAAATTTAGTGGTCTGGTGCCGAAATCCTTTCCTGGACGGCAAGGCAGTCTATGGAGAAGAAACACTGGTTATATAAAAATAAAACCACTCAGAGGACTGGTTTCATTTCCACATATAGTTAGTACTTACAGTGTTTTTGTGTGTCAGAAAACAGGTCTTTGTGCATTACTCATTTGGAAAACTCAAGGCTCAATACAAGCTTTGTAGGTATCTCTGCATAAAATTAGATATGAAAAACTAATCCCCAGTTGTAATAGTTTAAAATTGTTTTAAAGTAATTTAAAGTCTTTTAAAAAGATTTTTATTTTTTTAAAATAATATAATACTAAATTGTGTTTTCGGTGAAGGTTTACAAAGCAGTTTAGGCTCCCATTGAACAATTTCTACACGAATTGTTCGGTGACATTGGTTACATTCTTCACAATGCGTGAACATGCTCTTATTTCCATTCTGGTTGTTCACATATATTTTTTGGTTGTTGCTGCAAAATTATATATGCCACAGCAATTACCAAAAGGTCCTTTCTTCTCGTGCACTTCTTAGTGACATTGTCTACCTTGGTCAAGCTGTGCACACTTCACCCTCGTTCAGTGTTACCTTTCCCATCACCAAACATAACCAGTGTCTACTAGCCAGGCAGTGAACCCCACTCCCCATCCCCGGTAACCACTAACAAACATCAGTTTCTGTATACTTACCTATTCATGTCATTTCATAAAAGTGAGAACGTACAATATTTGGTTTTTTGTGTGATTGACTTATTTTGTTCAATACAATGTCCTCTGGGTTCATCCATGTTGTAGGATCTTTTGGGAATTCATTTTTCTTCATCGCTGAGTAATACTCCATTATATGTATGTACCACCTTTTACTTATATGTTCATCCACTGATGGGCAATTAGGATGTTTCCCTCTTTTTACTGTTGTGAATAATGCTGCAATACACATAGGTATGCACATGTCTATTCATATCACTTCTGTTAGATCCCTAGGGTATGTACGTCGCAGTGGAATTGCTGGGTCATACGGCCGTTCTACCTCTAGTTTTTTGAGGAACCACCAAACTGTTTTCCACACTGACTGTACCACTTTGCATTCCCATCAGCAATGGATAAGAGTTCCAGTTTCCCCACATTTCCTCTAACACTTGTTATTTTCCATTTGCCTTTTTTTTTTTTTAAATCTTAGCCACCCTAACCCGCTGCTGTCGAGTCGATTCCAACTCATAACTGACCCTACAGGACACAGCAGAACTGTCCCACAGGGTTTCCAAGGAGTGGCTGATGGATTCGAACTGCTGGCCTTTTGGTTAGCTGCCGAGCTCTTAACTACTGCACCACCAGGGCTCCTGGTCATCCTTCTGGGAGTGAAATGGTATCTCACTGTGGTTTCGATTTGCATTTCTCTCTGATGGCTAATGACACTGAGCATCTTTGCATGTGTCTGTTGGCCATTTGAATATCCTGTTTTGTAACATGTCTGTTCATGTCCTTTGCCCAGTTTTTCATTCAGTTATTTGTCTTTTTATATTGTTAAGCTATAGATGTTTTCTATGTATTTTAGATATTACACCCTTATTAGTTTCATCGTTCCTAAAGAATTCTTCCCAGTATGTAGGTTATCTCTTTACTCTTTTGCTAAAGTCTTTTGATGAAGTATTTAATTTTCATGAGGTCCCAGTTATCTATTGTTTTCTGTTGCTTGTACATTCATTGGTGTATTTGATAATCTATCATTGAAAAAAATTAGGTCTCAAAGTTTTGCTATGTTTTCTTCTAAGAACTTTATGGTTTTAGAGTTACCATTTAGGTCCTTGATAGATTTTGAATCAGTTTTTGTGTACGGTGTAAGGTATGGATCTTGTTTCATTTTTCTGCAGATGGAAATTCAATTTTCTAAGCACCATTTGCTGAAAACACTGTTTTTCCCCCATTGAATGGATTTGGCCTCCTTGTTGATAAAGGTTTTTTTTTTTTTTTTTAAGTGAGTGAAATGCAGGATTGAGCACTGGATTTACAGCTTCTCTAGGCTTCATTTTAAATAACTATATTATGCCTTTAACTCACTCACTAAATATTAACCAGCAGTAGTATTAAGCTCACCACCTGCCTGTCAGGTTGTCGTACTGTGGTGGCTTGTGTGTTGTTATGACTCTGGAGGTTATGCCACTGGTATTTTAAATACCAGCAGAGTCACCCATAGTGGATCAGTTTCAGATGAGCTTCCAGACTAAGACAGACTAGGTGGAAAGACATGGCAATCTACTTCTGAAAATTAGCCAATGAAAACCTTATAGATTACAACAGAATATTGTCCAGTATAGTGCTAAAAGATGGCACAGGACCGGGCAATGTTCAGTTCCATTATACATAAGGTTGCCATGAGTCAGAGCCAACTCAATAGCAACTAACAGCAACAACAGTATCAAGCAGCAACACATGGGCCAGATTATAGGACCACTCTGTTATCCAAAGAGCCACAGTGGCCAATTATTGCTGTACCTGCATAAGGACTTTTTGAAACATGTCTCTATTCCAGCAAGCAAATTTGACAAAGCTGGGAGTGCAAAGGAGCCCTACCAGACAGTTCAACAAGGACGTGGCTTTTGTTGCCATAAGAGGTGGGTTCACATACTTCTTCTGAACCCGAGAGACAGATGGCAGATGTGCTGTTCTTCAATGAGCATGCCAGGGCCCTCAGTCATGTCATAACAAAACACGTGCAATTAGGGTTTTACAGAAAGTGCTCGGACAGAAGATGAAAAGGCACATTTATAAGGTGGTTTTCCAAGGGCTGGATGAAGTTTAGAAACCTGAGTTGTTTTTGTAGAATCAGTTTGCTTGGCCTAGACAACCACTTTGTTGGAAGAAGAGCAAGCATTCCATCCTTTATAATTTACTCTCATTCCTTTTCCAAACTGGACACCAAAATTTTCAAAGGCCAACTTTGCAATTCTTCCAGGGCTTTAAGATCCATTTCAAGTGAAAGTCAGGGCTGTGGCACAGTTTCCAGATATGGGCAAAGAAGTCCTCCTGCCTCTGTGGCCTCCTCTGGCTGCTCACACCAAAGGGCAGGGCCTAGTTCCCCTCCCATTTAATAGGAGCTGGCCTTGTGACTGGCTTTGACCTACCAGAAAGAGGCAGAAGCAACATTCTGGCAGCTGACAGCTTCCACTTCCCCCTCTTGAAGCCGAACTGCCATGCTGCCCACACTAGAACACTGAATGACTCGAGGCCACATGGAGAGCTCTGGGGGAAGAGAGGCCACCCTGGTCATTCTGGTCTCAACCCAGCTCCCGGCTGAGTGCAGCCACAATGAGTGGCCCCAGCCTTCAGCACATGGAGCAGAAGAACTACTCAATCTACAGAATCAAAATAAATATTAAGTAGTTATTGTTTTAAGCCACTAAGTCTTAAGGTGGTTTGTAATGCAGTGACAGGTAACTGAGACACCAGCTACTGAACCACTGTCCCATGAAATCCCACAACCCTTACTATCTGGCTAATGTCTCAAGGTGAGTTCTATGGAACTCCAAAGATGTCACACTGTACCCCTTTGCTTCTTTCCATCTCCTCTGCTTTCACCCCACTCCAACTCCCACTCGGCTACCGCTCAGACCACTACCCCTGCCTCCCATTGGTCTCCCTGCTGCCATTCTTACCCCACAGCATACATTATCCACTCAGAAGCCAGTCTTTAAAAAAAAAAAAGGGAAATGATAAATTCACTTCCTTTGATCAAAACTCATGTGTGGCTTCCCACTGTACATTCAAAATACAATCCAGCTCCTGACCTTGGACCTGTAGGGTCCTGAGGCCTGATCTGGCCCTTGCTAATCTCCCTCACCTACCTCCCACCACCATGTTCCTGCAACACACACCAAATGTACTCCTGCCTTAGGGCCTGCACCTGGGCCAGTCTGCCCTGAATCTTTTTCCACCCGGCTCCTTTTTGTGAATCAGGACTAAGCTCCTCTGGCACCTTCTCAGAAAGACTGTCCTTAAAGCCACCCAGCAGGAAGCAGTGCCACTGCCCTCTATTCCCCTCTGCCACAGCTTCACATTACAGGTCACCTTGTTGGTTCAGTTAGTTATTGTCATTTCCCTGCTCAAGGCTGTGAGCTCCATAAAGGAAGGGACCTTCCTAGTCTTAATTTACTGCGGTATTCCCAGCTAGACTAGTGATGCTTGGCACATATTAAGTGCTCAATTTGCATTTATTGAATAAGTAGATGGTGAAAAAAAAAAGTGTCTCAAAGTCAAGTAAGTTTAGAAAACATTAAATGAGTTTCTTCAAACATCTAGTTCTAAACAAAATGGAGAACTGGGTGGGCTGCTGGCTCCTCCCCCCAGCCCAACCTGAGACACGCCAAATGTGAGGGAGGGTGGAACAACACACAGGCCATGAGAATCCTGGGGAGGCCCCAAGTGGTGGGTACCAGTGAAGCGGCACAGGTGGGAATGGGGGGCTTCCTGGTTATGCCACTTCCTCTCCCACTCTGCTCTGGGTGGATTACTGCCAAGCAACTAGGCCAGCCAGGCATGAGCTAGAGGGGTCAAGTCAGAGGAGCACTGGGGGTGGAGAAAAGACAGCATTCTGAACAGCCAGAGAGCATTCCATAACCCCAGGCAATAACAGCAGAGGGAGACAAGCAGCAGCACCTGGGTCAGAGGTCCCAGAGGTTCCCTGGGAGATGAGGTTGCCCAACTGTGGAAAAAGGTGAAGATGGGAAGTAGTTGAGCCCAGAGGTTCCCATCTTATTAAACTTTACTAAACAAGCTAGGAACCAAGCTCTGCCTCTCCCACGAGGTGTATACTACCAGCAAAGGTAGCTGGTAAGACTAAGGGGAAGAGCTCACAGATTTAAAAAAAAGGAATGTAAATAAGAAGTGCAAGAAATAAATGAATAACAAACTAAATATACTGGAAAAAGCAGAATTAATTCACCACACAGACAAGAATTTTTAAAAAGCACAGTAAGTACAAGGGTGAGAAAAATTTGGAAATAGACAGTGGTGGTGGTGGCACAACATGATGGGCATAATTAC